ACTCTTAGTTCCCTCATGGAGCGCACAAACGTCCGACCATAGTGCATGGGCGTCTTTGTGGTTCCTTACGCCGTTGAACACATCTTTGCAAAGGCCTCTAAAGATGGTGTTGCGAGCCTTCGCATTCCATTTTTCATAATTCATTTCATCGCCTTGTAAGTGAGTAGCATCCTGAGGTTTTGGGAAGCCTTGTGAGGCGGCTCTAAGTATACCAACGTCTAGAGCTTCTAAGTACGCCTCCATGTGAATTTTCCAATATGGAAAGTCATCTCTCCTCAAAGATAGGAGGAGGTCCATCCCCGTGAGACATCTTGCTCTAAGCGGTTAAGCTTAAAAATGTGAGCACGAGGCTCTAATACCAATTGAAAGAATCAAGATACCCAAGAGAAGGGTGAATTGGGCTAATTCTAAATTTTCTTGCAATAATTAAATCATATTGATAGCCCAATTAACCCCTTGTGCCTAGAAAGTGTTTCTAATGTTCTATTGCACAAAAGGACTTACAACCTAAGTTCCAATCCTACTATAGCATGGCAATTCTAGGAATGTAAATGACAAGAATTGAATTGCTCAACGTAAATGCTCAAAGTAAAGAGAGGAGAGGAAATGCGGCGATGTTTTACCGAGGTATCGGAGAGTCGCCACTCCCCACTAGTCCTTGTTGGAGCACCCACGCAAGGGTGTAGCTCCCCCTTGATCTGCGCAAGGATCAAGTGCTCTCTACGGGTTGATTCTTCGACACTCCGTCGCGGTGAATCACCCACAACCGCTCACAACTTGAGTTGGGTCACCCACAAGCTCCGTCGGGTGATCACCAAGCTCCCAATCACCACCAAGCCGTCTAGGTGATGGCGATCACCAAGAGTAACAAGCATGAACTCTCACTTGACCACGCGAAGCCTAATGAGAACGGTGGATGCACACTTTGCTACTCTTGATTCACTAATGAGGCTACTCTTTTGGATTCTCAAATCACAAACACCTCACTAGGACCTTGCTCTTCTTAGCACTCACAAACGTGTTTCTCAACTGTTAGAATGAGCAAAAGTGACTCCACACACGAGTGGAGCTTCTATTTATAACATGGGCTGAAAAACGAACCGTTATGTGCCTCTGCGGGGTGACCGGACGCTCCGGTCGGTTCAACCCGCACACCAGTGTTTAAGTGTTGACCGGACACTGGCAGGGTCCGGTCACCACTGACCGAACGCGTCCGGTCGCAAATATCCCTCACTAGAATCTTACTGTACTCGACTAGACGCTGAACCCCCAGGGTCCGGTCAGCACTGACCGGACGCGTCCGGTCGCAGATTCTCTTCTCTAGAACCTTACTGGAGTCGACCGGACGCTGGCCCTCAGCGTCCGGTCACTTGACCTCTCCAGCGTCCGGTCAAACTGGACTAGTTCATCTCAGTCAAATGAACTGACCGGACCCTGGGGGTTCAGCGTCCAGTCGATGATCGTATATCACGTAACCTAGCTAGGTGTCTCCCATTCGAAAGAGATACGGTTGGCAATATGCAGATCTTTGCATATCTATAACCGTATCTGTTTTGAATTGTCCATGTTTTTTGGATAGCCCGAGGATGTGTATATAGGGTTAGTTTCCATGCTCTACTCTGATCCGAGATAGAGTTTCGGCAGCATCTCCCTGTTGTTCTTCGGATACACAATCTCCCTGCCAGGACGTGTATTTGGAGAACAGTGGGGAGGTGTTGCCGAAATTCTGTCTCAGATAGGAGTAGAGCATGGAAACTAACCCCATCTACACATCCTCGGGTGAGATTAGGACCTATCTTCACCTATTAGACTGTATAGGAACCTGTAGATGCAATTGATTTTTATATTACTTGCTGATTTATTAGAGGATGGATGACCGTGAGTGGATGTATACGGACCGCTCTAGTCAGTGAACTTAGCTACTTTGTGAATCAATGGGCTCAAGAGTCATGACTACCACATATGGCTTGAGCGGCTACTACCGGTGATGGTTCGAGGCTATGGCCCTGAGGATGTCTGGATAGTGCTGGTGGAGTTGAGCAATTTCTTATGTCAGCTTTGTGCTAAGGAGTTATCTCGTACCGTGGTTGCAAACATGGAAAGAATGGCGCATGTGTTGCTCTGCAGGTTGGAGAAGATCTTTCCACCCGGCTTCATCAATCCGATGCAGCATTTGATTTTGCACCTCCCGTATGAGGCATGAATGGGGGGCCTGTGCAGGGCCGTTGGTGCTATTCAATTGAGAGATTTCAAAAGGCTCTTCGAACTAAATGTAAAAATAAATGCAAAATTGAAGCATCCATAGTAGAGGCATACATTCTGGAGGAGGTATCAAACTTCACAACAAAATACTATGCTGACAACCTTCCTAGCGTGCATAATCCACCCCCTCGTTACAATGCTAGCGAAGATGAATTGAACCTTAGCATTTTCCAAGGGCAACTAGGAAGTGCAAGTGGTGCGACTAACAAGACCTTGAAACATGAAGAGTGACGCACTATTATGCTATATGTGTTGACCAACCTATCCGAAGTAGAGTCGTACATGCTATAAGTTCTCAACAATTTTTTTCTCAAGTAGTCACAATTCTATGTCCAACTCCCTTGTTTCTCGTTGGTACAGGGAATTTCATGAACAATTCTGGCGTGAATCAAGGGAACCTACCCCGTAGGAAACTTTGACCCTTCTTAGAGAGGGTGCGGAAAATGGAATGCCCGATTTCATTTCTTGGTTCAAACAAAAGGTACTGTCCAATTTGGCTCGTACTTAGTTTGATATTACAAGTTGCTCGTACATGCAACTAATATAACGAACTACCCTGCTTGAACTTGTAGGGACAAACCGATGCGTCTATGGGTGCCGAGTTGAGACAGGTTGCTGATGGTTGTGCCTATAGGGTCAGGTCATTTACCGGTTACGACGTGAATGGATATCGCTTTCACACAATAAGCCACGAGCAGAGTCGGCCCAATCGAAGAACCACAAATACCAGAGTTTTTACGCAAGGCTTAGATGGGGTTGAGTATTATGGAAGAATTGATGAAATATATGAACTCATGTTTCATGATTGCAAACCTCTTAATCCCGTTATATTCAAATGCCATTGGTTTGATCCTGAAGTAGTGAGACGAACCCCTAATCTTGGGCTAGTCGAAATTCGACAATCATCCGTCTTATCAGAAGACGATGTCTATATTGTGGCTCAACAGGCCACGCAAGTTTATTATCTCTCATACCCGTGCCAAGCCGTCGACCATCTTAAGGGTTGGGATGTTGCGTATAGCAACAAGTCTGTCCACAGCCACCTCGATGGATACACATCGATGGCAAGGGCGGTCCATGGCCCTGAGTACGATCCGAGCGCCCATGACCATGATGGAGAAGTGGTCATGAGGGCAGGAGGAGGCAAGAAGCATGGACGGTTCTGGATTGGCGACGGCACAATTGACACGGCCAGTACTCCCACTCTCTCCCAGATTCGAGCACGGAGCATGAGTTCCAGCCCAGCGATATGCCCACGCAGGACTCCACAGTTCTAGATGGACGCACTCCAGGTTATTTCTGTTTTATTCATCGTTCATTGATTTTTATATACTTTTGCATTGCATTGTAACATTGGGATGAAATATTGTAGGCTCAGTTGTTACAAGAAACGAGGCGTCGGGAGGAGCTAGAGGCGAGGATGAAGGCAGAGCGGCAGAGGATGGATGCTGAGCGAGCCCAGATGTTTGAATATATGAGGAGTGTTTACGGTGCAATCTGTCAACCTCCGCCACCGATGCCGGTCCCTCCTCCTCAACCTGCTCCAAATACTATTTTTGGCACTGAGTCACTTCACAACCTTATAATCACCGTTTCTAGTTTATGTAGAATCAATCTTTTCTCCTTTGTGATGTGCGTATGTTTCTAGTTTCTAATTTCTATTTTATTTCTAGTCTGTAGTTAATCTTGTAATCATTGTTTCATTCTCAATCACTGTAACTTAGCTACTTTTAGTTTCCACAGAATTAATCACTTTTTCTAGTTGATAGTTTATTTCTAATACTTGTATGTTTCGTTCTCAATCACTGTGAATGATTTATCTCTTCTCCTTTGTGCAGAATCAATCTGCGGCATCGAATGAGCCTTATGACCGACAGTGGTCACAGTGGTCACCGTGATCATAGTGACTACGTTTATTTGCATTTCTGATTAGCCTGGAGAGCAACTGTGAACTATGTACTTGTGATTCTGAAGTTTATTTGCATTTGTGATTGTGAAGTTCTTTTGCATTTGTGATGTGGTCGATATATCTATATGAAATGCATGTGATGACTATTGTGAATTATCTGTGATGGATGTGATGTTTATTTGAATGTGGTACGTGGCTGCGGCCGAATCAAATAAACTGGTTAAATGTGGTAGCTTTGCCGAGTGTTACACTCGGCAAAGCGGACACGTGGCCAAAATCTCGATATTCTGGGACTAAAATGGCCATCTTTGCTGAATGCCTGCGCTGTGACACTCGGCAAAGAAGCCAAAATCTACACATTCTGGGGCCAGTCTTTGTCGAGTGTCCAGGATGTGACACTCAGCAAAGAAGTCATGTTTGCTGAGTGTCAGGGCCTGAACACTCAACAAACAAAGGCATGTTTGCTGAGTGTCAGAGCCTGGACACTCGGCAAACAAGGGCATGTTTGCCGAGTGCCTAAGCCGTTAGACACTCGGCAAACGCGCCGTGACCGTCTCCGCGCCGTCACATTGCTTTTTTTTGCCGAGCGTCGATTTCAACACTCGGCAAAGTCTTTGCCGAGTGCCCAATAAAAAACACTCGGCAAAGAAACTTTTGCCGTCACTGTGTACGCCGTGTGCTGTTTGCCGAGTGTAACACTCGGCAAAGCCTTTGTCGAGTGTGTTTTTGGGCTTCGCCGTGTGCCGTGGACACATGACAAAGATCATGTTTCCAGTAGTGGGTGCACATATTTGAAACATTTTTGGCTAACAAGTTTATCACTTACTAGATAAGAGACTTGCATGTTGCAAAAGGAACAGAAGACATTGGGTTCTATGCCGGATTTGTGGGTTAGTCCTTATAATTGTCGTTTCTCATTTGAGATGGTCTAGTATATATAGTCTTTTGAACTTTTGATGGATATTTTCAGGTGCTTCATTTATGCTTGGTAGATGCTTGACTTCAACTGTTTGGGGAATAGCAGCAGATCGGTTTGGGAGGAAGCCAGTTGCCATACTTGGCGTTTTCTCTGTGTTAGTAAAAGAAATTGCTTCTACCACTATTGATCAAAGTGTTATTTTATCTATTCCCATTTTATTTTATTTTTCCTTTTTATACTGTGATCCTCTAACTAAATTCTTGTTAATATTCAGGGTCATATTCAATACTTTATTCTCCTTGGTGCTTTAAATGGTTTGCTTGGGCCAATTAAGGTACTGTGAATTGGGATTTTGTTTCATGTGAGATGTATTGCACAACTAATATACTTATTAATGTGTAAATTTCACAGTCTTATTCTATTGAAGTTTGCAGACCTGAACATGAAGCATTGGGAATATCACTTGTAAACAAAAGACTGCGCTGATGAAATCTCAACTTTTCTTGCTCTATTTATATTTTTTATTCTGAAGTTCACTCCTTGTAACTCTAGGTCGGCACAGCTTGGGGAATAGGTCTGATCATTGGGCCTGCTTTAGGAGGCTACCTTGCACTGGTACAATAGACATCCACTAATTTTAGGCTATGACAATTGGAAATGCATTGTGACCTAATTATATTATGACAGCCTGCAGAAAAATTTCCAAATGTATTTTCACCTGACTCATTCTTCGGGAGGTATTCTTTCTTTAGTGAAGACTTTATTATATTGTGTAGTATATTTGATTTCTAGAATACTTACATTCAATAAAAACTTAACAGGTTCCCGTATTTTTTGCCATGCTTATGCACCTCACTCTTTGCTACAGTTGTTCTTGTGAGCTGCATATGGATGCGGGTACGTGAGATCACATTGGTTAGAAATACCATCTTTGGAATTAGAAATATACTTAACAATGAAGGCTATTTACTGACCTTAGTGTAGCTTACTGATCAACCTACAACTTGTACATGATGTTACAAAACAAACTTACCCATTATAGTTGCAAATGGTTTCATCTGATTACATCCATGATCAATCAGAATACAACGATCTATCAAGATTACATAGAAGAAATCTCAACTATCTTAATAGATGGTATGCCTCCTTTAAATTTCATAAAAGGTCCTAACAATTCGAATTAGACCCCTTGCAAAATAAGTAAGGATGAGAATGTCTAGAAATTTCCTTCCCTAGACCTCACATTGTGTAGAACATATCAGCACAGGCTGCATCCGTTTCTTCTAATAAAATGTAACACATTTTAAGATATTTCATTTGTGCGATGTTGACCTTTTGTCCCTCAAATTTATTCTTCCTCATTCTATAGTAAATTATCTTGGATTTATTTTAGGAGACATTACACAAGCACAAAGTTCACCAGAATGAAAATAAAAATGTTGAAGCTTTGGAGGCCCACCAGAGTGACTACAAAGAGAAGGATGAACAAATTTCAAGTTTGGATGACAAGAAGAGTTTATTCAAGAATTGGCCCTTTATGTCATCCTTAATTACATATTGTGTATTTTCCTTTCATGATATGGCTTATTCAGAGGTACTATTCTCGATCTCAGTTTCTTATTGTTTTCGAGTACTGAAATGTGATGGCTAATTATGCATTCACCAAACATGTGCTAAATGTAGAATATAATTAGTAGGCACAGATAAAATGTGTGTAAACTAACATGATACAGATAGAGATGGACTTAGTATAACAAAATATAATGTGTTCTTAATAGTACAATTATCTTTGGATGGTTACAACCACTGTGGATACCTGTAGTTAACTTTGAATGATTCTGCAATTAATTGAACTCTCTTGAACCATTTTACCTATTGTTAGACGAGGTATTTGATGTTTTCAACACTGATTTTTAAGTGGATCAATATGTATTAATTGCAGCTATAAGAAACGAGTTATCTAGATGTTAGTATAACACAATTTTTAGCCTATAGAATATATGTCCTAATAAATCCTAATATGCAACCTGTACATGTCACGACCCAAGACCTTACTCAAAAAACTTGTACCCACAAGAAATTTTGACGTGTGGTGTCCAATGATAAATCTACTACATTATTACTACAAATACATGTAATAAGAAAACCTTAGATTTTTGTTCGTAGTTAAGAGTAATAATGACATCATTTGAAGTCAACTCCAGGTGTTCTCTTTATGGACTGAAAGTGATAAGAAGTATGGTGGCCTCAGTTTATCATATGAGGCTGTAGGTCAAGTGCTTTCAATTACAGGTAACATTTATTTTGATACTTTTTTGGGGGAATCTATTTTGATACTTTCACCAGCCTTGATAGTGTAATGTATGTACTTACCATTCTGTCAAACTTAAGTTGCTAGGAAATAATGGACCTCAACATTTTTGGCCTACCCCGCCGGGCCAGGCCCAGCCCCGAGGCCCTTGCTGGACACGGCCTGGGCAGCAGTGACCGAACCCACAAAAAAAAGGCAGGCCTAAAACATTTATTCCATTTAGCTTATTATCTAAACAATAACAATCAGCCCAAGCCCAGACCATAAATCCAGCCCAACAGAGCCCGTGGGACATTAGTGGACATGATTTTCAGCCTTTCAGGCCAGAAAAATGTCAAGATTTTTTTTTTTTTTTTTGCCTGGCCCGACTTTTGCACATGTCTATCACAGAAGCTCAAGAACAAATATGCTACCACAACATTAACATTTGTGGCTGCTCATCATCGATATAAAGTGGAAAATAACTTTAAAATTTTGCCCCAGAAGCTGGACAGAGCATTCAAAGTCTTCCCTGAGTCTAGCTATCGTTTCTTTTCCTCAATGTTTTTTTCTCGATCGGGTGTTCAACCCGTTTTTCATTAAGAGGGAGCTTTTCCTCAATGTTATTTACACCTTACTCTTTTCTATGTAATTTTATACGTGTATCAGTACTGACACATGGCAGTATTTTTGGCCCTTGCATTTCCAGGTGTCAGTCTTCTTATATATCAACTCTCTGTATATCCTCACACTAACAAAATTCTTGGACCTATCAAGACTTCTCGAGTTGCAGCTGTGAGTAAAAACTGCTAGTGTTCAGCTGTAGATATGCTCTGTCTCTTCTGCCTGCATGTCTTATGCTGTGCTTGATCTTGCAGATTCTGTGCATACTTATTCTCTTTGGCTATCCCTATATGACATATCTGTCAGGAACTGGACTATCGATCATTCTGAATATTGCATCGATCTTGAAAATCAATCTTGCTGTGAGTATTTTTCTTTTCTCCAACACCTTGACAGATTCCATATAACTTGGAGAGCACCTAGGATCTGTATATACAATTCATGTTTATAGTTTCATCCATGATATATTGTATCAGGATACCATCATTTCGAGCAGTTTCATCCTTCAAAATAATGCTGTGGTATGTATGTTCCCATAAGTTAAGATGAATTCAACACCAATCTATAAAAATGACTGGTGCAAGAATTATGTAGCTGACTGATGAACGCCCAATTGCATATTAACAGCCTCAAGACCAAAGAGGAGCTGCAAATGGACTGTCAGTGACAGTAATGTCCCTATTAATTCAAGGCAATTGCTCCTGCAGTTGCAGGCACTGTGTGAGTATACTTAGTTACTAACTACTTTTGTGAGAATAAAATTTGGATTGTAGCACCACATCCCTACTTCTATGTTCATTCCTAAAGCCATTGCGCCAAACTTCTTGGCATTTTGGATCCTCATGACTTGTCTGTTAATTACCTACAAATGCAGGTTTTCTTGGGCACAAGCACGGCAGCATGCTTTCTTCTTTCCAGGTCAGTTTTTTTTTAAGTACTAGACTTAATGCAAGATTTTACTGTGGTGTGATCTTTCGTCTTATTCCATATACACAGGTGATCAGATGGTGTTTTTTCTTCTCAATGCCGTCGAGTTTCTTGGACTTATCCTCACATTCAAACCCTTCATGGCCGCACCAGAGTCCAGAGCAGTATGAATAGGAATTAGTCTTTTTTTTCTTCTGTTTTTTTAGTTACAGAGACATTGAATCATTTAGATCTATAGTGGGTCATACTAGTCATAGACAGCTGCTTTAATTTAGTCATGAAAAAGAGATGCAAAGCGAGAATCAATTCCGCTATATATATTTTATATGGGTGGTGGCATCTAGTTGGCTATTAACAAGTAGTTTGTAGTTAGAGCATCTGTACCTCAAATTTTCCCTGGGGAGCCCATCTCCAAAAGTTTCCTGAGTTCCAATAAATCAAATTTGAGGCCCATAGCCTTTTTTATTTTTTGTCGTCATTTTTTTCCCGTGCCGCAGAAACCTATGTCGCTCTTTCAACAGGGGCGCCGCCTCTTTCGTGCGCCGTGGGCTGATCATCGCCGCCGCCTCCTTCCTGCTGACCGCAGCAGGTAATTCCCAGGCGGCAGCAACACCTCCCAGGCCGCCGCGCAGTCCTCCTGCCTTGCCGCGCCGTGCACCAGGCTAGCCGCAGGCACGTACCAGGACACGGCAGGCACCTCCCAGCAGGCTGCAGACACCTCTCAGCAAGCCCTCCACGCTAGACGCCACGAGTGCTTCCAAATCACTTCTGCAGAGGGAGTTGGATTATTCATCATCAGACGACGATGACATTTTGATCTTCTCAGCGGCTACAATTGTCGAGACATATTCAAACCAAAAAGAAAGACATGGTGGTTCCGTCCCAAGGCACAATGTTATTTATCGAGATCGAGAAGGCAGGCACCAAAAGATGTTTCAAGATTACTTGACTAATGAGCCGACATACGGCCCAAATTTATTTCGCCGGAGGTTCGTGTACATTCACTTGTGATACATACATAGTATGGTACGTAAATGGTGTACGAGTAATTTTTTTTCAGGTACAGGATGAGTAGGGAGCTTTTCCTACGCATAATGAATGCTGTTGAATCACACAACAATTACTTTGTGCAAAAAAGGAGTGCGGCCAATGTACTTGGATTAAGTTGCTTTCAGAAAGTCACTGCAGCATTTCGTATGCTAACATATGGGGTTCCAGCTGATTCAACGGATGAGTATATTCGCATTGACGAAAGTACCGCAATTGAGAGCCTACGTAGGTTTGTTAATGCAGTTGTTGATCTATTTGAAGATGAATACCTAAGATATCCTAATGAGGCTGACACAACATGCTTACTGACACTCGGTGAGAAAAATGGTTTTCCTGATATGTTAGGGTCCATTGATTGTATGCATTGGGCGTGGAAGAATTGTCCTGGAGAATTGCAAGGTCAGTACAAGGGGCATGTGGAGAAGCCCACTATTATTTTGGAGGTTGTTGTTTCCAACGATCTTTGGATATGGCATGCCTTTTTTGGAATGCCTGGGTCTTATAATGATATCAATGTGCTTCATCGGTCTCCTTTATTTGCAAACCTGGCAAAGGAGAGGGCTCCTGAGGTGAACTATACCATTAATGATCATGATTATACGATGGGTTATTATCTAGCCGATGATATATACCCATCATGAGCTACTTTAGTAAAGTCCATCTCTTAGCCTATGGGCAACAAGAACAAATATTTGGCCAAAGCACAGGAAGCAGCGAGGAAGATTGTCGAAAGAGCTTTTGGGGTTCCGCAATCTAGGTTCGCCATTGTTCGAGGAGCAGCTCGCATGTGGGACACAGAGACACTTGAAGACATCTTAAAAGCTTGTGTGATAATGCACAATATGATTGTCGAGGATGAAGGAGTTGTTGACCCTACTGAGCGGTTCGATTATAGTGGCCAAAATGTGGAACCTTCTCATGAGAATAATCGAACCCTTAATGAATTTATTGAAGCGCACAAAAGGATCAGAGACAAGGAAACACATGTCCAGTTAAAAGAAGACCTCATCGAGCACCTATGGAATCATCATCCTGATTTATATTAGCAATATACATACATTTTATTTTTTTGTTAGGATCAGTTTATTTTTGTCCTCTATTTGTAATCAAAACTTTTTACTTCAAATGTAATTTTAGCCGGCCATCTACTAGTAGCATTCAGTAGTTGCCATTCATGTGCAGGCAATCTGCAGGCTTTCAGCAGTCATGTCAAAAGCACAGTGCCATGCACCACAGTATGTGCAGGCATCAGGCGTTGAGGACCAGGAACAGCAGCAACACTACTTGCCGATCATGACAAAAGCACAGGCATTTACCGGCACAGTAGCATATACATTCAGGCAAGAACAAAGTTTCATTGAATATAAATAATACAAATTAAAAAGCACTTGACCATTTATGATGAAGCAAAGGTTCACTGAATCACAAAGTAATGCAAAGGTTCACTAAATCACTGAATCCAAAACAAATTGGCTATAGAAATAAAATGGCATGAACTAATTCTAATTCGCAAGACGACGAGCAACGATCTGCTGGCGCATCATCGTGTAGTACTGCTGCTGCGACAGGTCGAGGTTGGTAATGTCGATTGACATTATTTTGTCTTCATTTTCGATGAGGTCTGATTCCACCTTTTTTCATCTAATGACAGGCGCTTTTTCTCTAGCTCAAGTAAAGCCATGAACCTCTCCTCTTTCTTCTTCTCCTTCTCCATCTCGAAAGGCTCCTTTTTAGCCCACATCTTGTCCAAAGCCTCCATGCAAGCTTCACCACCTCCTCGCCTTAGAACTTCCTTTGCCTTCTTCGAACCCATTGGCCTCTTTCATGCTTCGGATTCTAGTGGTGGAATCTCAGTGACATCTTCATTGTTATTGACTTGTACATTCGTAGGCGTGGAATGCGCATTAATCTTCTGTTTCTTCTTATTCTTACCGGCTTGTTGCTCCACCATTCTCTTCCTCTCGGCCTTCCACTTGTCTTCACCCTTCAACTTGTTCCAATAGTGTATTAGAGTGAATGTCTTGTTCTCCCAATCTAATCCCTTGAACATCTCGCCCGCGTCAGAAACCTGCACAGAAACCTGCACATGCTATTAATCATCAATGTGTATATCTCCACAAATAAATCAAATAGAAAAATAAAACAAATGAACAAATGAAACAAATAACAAATTAAACCTTGTCTTGAATGGTTGCACCACTTTGATTCCTACGCTCAATAGTTTCGTAGCATGCACAAAACTTGTTCACTTGGTCCAAAATAGTCATCCACATATGCATAATGGAACTCTCCGTTCTGAACGCTTCAGTTGTCTTGTGTTTCTCATAGAAAGCATGAATTCTACTCCAAAAGGAGCTGCGAGGTTATTTAACCCCGCGCACGGGATATTTGCTCGTGTTCAACCAAGATGCCACAACAACTAAATCCTCCTTCGGATCAAAGTTTTTTGTCCTCTTCGAATAAGGCCTTGTATTGCGAGGGCATGGAGCACCTCCACTTGGCTGCACCGGCACATCAACTGCTTGAACTTCAGTACACGTCTCATCAATTTCCTGTGTGTCCTGTGTCATGGGAAAAGTGTAGTCTTCCAAACTAGGAACATCATCCTCTCCGGTGACCATGTTTGTCCAATATCGGCCATCGAACGTTGGGTCCATCCTACAATAATTCAATGCTGAATCCATGTACATGAAAAATATTTGTACTAGATCAGAGATTAGGAAATAAAAAAAATAGCAGTTTCATCAAAAGCACTGGCATTTGCCGACCGTCTGTAGCACAATCATGTCAACCAATCATTCAGCCATTCAGCAGCATAGGTATCAAAACCAGCCGGCCATCAGTACGAGGAAAAAATTTAGTACGTCACAGTGCCATGCAGCCTCCTCTCTCCCGTCAGCAGGTACAGTAGCATACACGTCGGCACAGTAGCATATACATTCAGGCAAGAATAGCAATTTCATCAAAAAATAAATAGCAGTTCCATAAAAAAAATAGCAGGCAGCTACTAGCCATGGCAGGCTGAGGCAGCAGGCAGCCACGGCCAGGCGGACGCAGCCAGGGCGCCCGCGAACCCGGCTGTCCGCCACTCTGTTCGGATCGCAGGCACATGCCAGAGGGAAAAGCCCCGGTCTGGAGCACTCGACTTTGATCGAATCGCTGGGTGCTACTCTCCGCGAAGGCCAGGCCGTCTACGCCTCCGTCGGCCTCCACGACAAGACCCAGACGGCCAATCCCGGTGGCGGCCAATCACGGCGGCGGCAGCATGGATAACCCTACGAACGGCAAAACACCTGAATGGAGAAGTAGATCGATGGAGTTTACCTCTTGGTCGGCAGTGGCGAAGATCCTCTACCCTCGACGAACGTAGCAGTAGATCGATGGAGCCTGTGCTATGGCACCAAGGAGACGTGTGGGAATTTATCGCGGGAAGCACGAGAAGGAGCGGGAACGAGGATATGCGCGCGACGGAGCAACGCATATTTTTACGCGCGGTCACGGTGATTTTGCGAAGTGCGGAAAGATGGGGAACTCTTGGAGACTAGTTTTTCTCTTTTTCCCTAATTCCAAGGATAGGGAAGGGATATGGGGCACTCTTGAAGATGCTCTTAGAGGATTGACTAAAAAAGTTACCCTTTCTAGTTTCTACTAGCCTTCTCTTTGGATGAATTTGGGCTAAAGGAATAATTGGCTAGCCAATAATCCTATATGCATCAATCAATGCCCAAAATACGCAATACTAAACTAAATAAGCCATGCGCAATACTAAAGTAGATCTTGGTGTTGCAATGGCTACACCCGTATGTTTGAAGAGCATATTTCAAGTGTTTAATATGTTTTAGACTTATGTTGCAAATGTTTCATCTAAATGTTTTAAATGTAGAGATCTGGTGTTGCACATATTGCAATGGCGCCAGTGGCTGACGGACAACAACTTGTCGTAGGGCTTCGGCTCCTACCTCGCACGGCGCGCCTCAACCTTTCCTTTCTTCTACCTCCCCTCCCCTCCCACATCCCTTCCCTTCATCTTGCCGTGACAGTTCGAGCTCGGCGGAGAAACCCTACCTGACGAGCGCATGAACGTCGGGTAGGCATAGTAGCAGGCGTGGGGCGGCCAGGA